CCGTTGCTGGTCCCGGTCCGGTACGGGGGCGACACTGAGGGTTGCGATCCATTGCCGGACACGGAAAAAAAAAAAAAGACAAAAAAAAAAAAGAAAATGAAACTTACTGCTTATGGTTTCTGAGGCTGGTAAGTCCAAAGTCCATCTTGTGGTGGTGACAGTGACCCAGGGGTCTCACATTGCAAGATGGTGGAAGGAGAGAGAGCAGAGAGACAGACTCTCCTGTTAAAGCCCTCAGAACCACTCCCCTGACCCTGACCACCACTTTTAATCCATTCACTATAGCACGGTCCTACAATCGAATCACCTCTTCAGGCCCCACCTTTCAATTACCATAATAGGATTTCCCACCCTCTTAACAGTCTCAGTGGGTGCTAAGTTTCCAAAACATAAAACTTGGGGGACACAATTCAAACTTTAGGGAGTTTTGGGGGGACATAATTCAATCCAGTACAAAATGAAAAGGGCAAAAGCTCTGTGGTGGGAGGGACTATGGTGTGATGGTCAATTGGCTGCTCTGTAGTAGTGGAGAGTAAATGTATTCTAAAGGAGGCTGGAGAGAAAGAATGGGGTCAAGTTAGACAGGGCCTTGTGAGTCATTAAAGATGTTGGCCTTTATGTTAAGTCTGATGGGAACCCATTAAGTGTTTTGCGTTGGGAGTAAAAGAGGAGTTGAATAACATGACCAGTTTATGTTTTGAAAAGGTCAGTGTGATTGCTATGGGGAGAATAACTTGGAGGGTCAATAGTGCCTATAGCAGTAGCCTAGGTGTGGGCAAACGGTATCATGGTCTAAACTGATAGCAGTAAAAATGGAGAGAAGTAGATAGACTGAAGGGCTGTTTGGTGGTAAAATCTACAAATTAAGGTGATGGACTGGATATAGGATGGTGAGGGAGAAGGGAAGTCTCAAGGATGACTTCTGAGTTCCTGCTTATATAACTGAATGGAAGGTGGTGCCATTAATTGAGATCAAAACTCTGGATTAAGCGCAAGATTAAGGGGGAAGAAAGATCTAGTTTTTGGGTAAGTTGAAGGGCCTTTGTGAGTTATCCAAAGAGGCAGTTGGATACATAGGTCCAGACCCTCTGAGGCGGGAGGGGAGTCTGAACTTGTATATAAACATTTGGGAATCATCTTGGGCATGGATGTGACTGCTTAAGCAGAGAGTAATAGAGTGAAAAGAGACGGCAGCCTAGGACTGTACCTAGACAAAGTCCAACGTTTTATGGCTGGGTTGAGGAGGGTAAACCTGCAAAGGAGGCTGAGAAGAAGTGGCCTGAGAGGTAGGAAGAAACCCAGGAGACTGCAGTGTCATAAAAGCCAAAAGGAGAGGTGCTTAAAGGAGGAGGGAGTGATAGACAGTGTTGGACATGGCTGAGGGGTCAGAAGAGGTGAACATTTAAAATGCTCATTGGATTTATTGACAAAAATCATCGGTGACTTCATCAAGGGTTTTGCTGGTTGAATGACAGGAGCCAAAGTCAAATTATTATTTGTTAACTTTCACACATGACCCATTGTAAAGGGGATGAAGATAAACTCCAAACCTCAGCGAAACACATAAATTAACTTTCACCCTTTCATATGTTCATTATAATATATTCCCACTGCTTCTGAATGTTTCACCAGAGTTTAATGTTATGTAATTATAATGCTTAGAAGGTCCTATCACCATTTTACAGATGTGAGCTGGAGTTGAGTCCATGGAGTTGAGTCCGTGGAGGCAGGAAGGCGCGGGTCCTGCACGCAGCACGTTGCTCTTCCCGTTGCACTGGGCTCTAGGTGTACGTTTCTTTGTTCGAATCATCCTTTAATACTCTGCTCTGTTTATATATCACTATTTTAATTTTAGGAAATAAATTTTATAACATCAGGGAGCTTATCTTTTTTGATATTTATAACTATTTCAGGCCTATATTATTCTATAATTTAGATATGGGCTATTAGTCTTTTTAAATAATGATACAGTATTTCTGCTAGCTGGCTTTGCTTCAATATGGTTTTGAGGGCATAAAATGTTTAGAATTTAAAGTGAAATTAAAGTTGAACTGAATATAGAAGGTATGTCTAGAAATTAGTTCTTTTTTTTCTTCATTTTTATAGCAGTTTTAGTTTTACAGAGAAATTGAACAGGAAGTACAGATTATTCCCACATCTTTCCCCTACCCATATATATATACATATATATATATAAATTAGTTTTTTATAATAGTGATTCTTGGTGTTTCAGTGTTTGATGAAATAAATAATAACCACAGCTTCCCTTAAAACATAAGAGTAGTATATTCTTTTTTTTTTTTTTTCCTTTTTGTCTTTTTTCGTGACCAGCAACGGATCGCAACCCT